AGACTGAAATATTTAATAAATAAATAAATAAATAAATAAATAAATAAATAAATAAATAAATAAAAAATAATAGGTTTTGCAAAGGGAGCTGTTTAGAACCTTCAAGGGAAGGTCTTCCAATGACTTCTCATTCCTGTCTATAACTGAGGGCTCAGCTTGTGTCTATAGGATTCAGGACTCAAGCTGACCTGATGCAATCAGTGTCAGAATATTATTTTCTATCTTAGTGTCATGATCAATCATCTTGACATGCTGATTTTCTTCTTTAAGTCATATTTAAGAGATGTTTGGTGAAGCACTGGCTTTCAATACCCTCCCCCCTTCTCAGCCAAAAACAAAAATAAAAAAAAGCATGCATCTAACCCTAGAGGATCATCTGCCTTCATTTCTTATTCCCTTTCTGTTGTCAATGATGTTTTGTTTTTTTCAAGACAGGGTTTCTCTGTGTACCCCTGACTGCCTTTGTAAACCAGACTGGCCTCGACCTCAAGAGATCCGCCTGCCTCTGCCTCCAGAGTGCTGCGATTAAAGGCGTGTGCCACCCCTCCTGGTTCCTTATTCCTTTAATGATGCTCCCCAAAGGAACCAGGGGGACCCCTGTCTTGGTATTTTATGACCAAATGGGAAGCAGGAATGGGGAAGGCTGGGTAGAAGAAGCATACTGATTACTGAATGAATGGAGAGAAAGGGGTAGCATTTTCATGATTCCCGAACTGCTCATTCTCCCAAGAATTAAAACAGCATAGGACTTTTTTTAAAGCATCTGAATGAGCTGGTTCAGTGGTTAAGAGCACTTGCTGCTCTTCTAGAGGACAGAGGTTCGATTCCCAGCATCCATGCGGCAGCTCACTATCTGCTGTAACTCCAGTTCCAGGAGTTCCTGCTTCTGGCTTCCTCGGGTACCACATGCGTGGGGCACAGACATACATGCAGGCAAAACATCCATACCAGAAAATAATAAAATATTCAAAACATGTATTTTGTTTTTCAAGACAGGGTTTCTCTGTGTAGCCTTGGCTGTCCTATAACTCCCTCTGTAGACCAGGCCGACCCTGAACTCGGAGATCCACCTGCCTCTCCCTCCCAAGTTGGTGGGATTAAAGGCATAAGCCACCAACAACCAGCAAAATACTTTTAAAATTTTTAAAGCATCAGAAGATAAGAAAATATGGTTATGCGCTGTCAAAACACAGAATTCTAGAAGCAAAATGAAACTTACCATGTCACCCCACTGGATCCACTAATCCACCATCCGATACACAGGGTCACCAACTCTCAGGCTTCCAATTCTTTCCACCGAGAAATACATCCCAAACAGTGGGGACGTCTGGTACAGACTCTTCACCGAAGGGTCACACAGGCGGTAGCTGAAAGAAGAAAGTACCACCATCAGGCCTCGAAAGAAACGGGAGTCTAGTGTTTTCTATAGGACACGGATGCTTGCTCCTTAGGCTAATTATGGGTCAACAACACGTCCTTTCTAAAGATGACAGGGATGCCTGCACACAAGCAGCCAAATAAGTGTGGGCTTTCTAAAGCCAGGTGTGGTGGAGCACAACTCTGATCCCAGCACTCGGGAGGTAGAGGCAGGCAGAGCACTGAGTTCGAGGCCAGCCTGGTCTACAAGGTGAGTTCTAGGACAGCCAGGATTATAGAAACCCTGTCTCTAATAATAAAATAATAATAATTACTACAGTGTTAATAATAGTAAGTGTGGGCTTGTGAAGTATCGTACAAACACTTTTATTACACAGGTACCCTAACTCACAACTTATGGGGAAAACATGCTCATGAAATTTCAAAATGGAACCACCCCTGGCCCACTGTATTGACTGACTTTTGTTGTCAGTGGCACAGCCTAGAATCACCTAAGAGTCTCAGTGAGAGATTGTCTGCACTGCGTTGGTCTGTGGGCATGTCTTAATTAAGTTACCCAGCCCACCATGGGCAGCACCATTCCCTAAGCAGGGGCTCATGAATTGCCTAACAGTGGAGAAGTCAGCCTGAACACAGGCAAGCGAGCATGTCTGCATTCGTTTCTCTGTCTGTGACTATGAATGGGATGTGACTGTTCCGAGCTCCTGCCTTAACTTCCCCACCATGATGCACTGTAACCTGGAACTGTGATCTAAAATACACCTCTTTCTCCCTTATGCTGCTTTTGTCTGCATTGTTTTTACTCCCTATGCTTTCGACTTCTCCCAACATTAAGGTTCAATACTGGAGTTCCCCTGTAAGTGAAAATTAAGGCTGAGATGCCACTAGTCAATGGGACTGCTTATGACGTCTAAGACCTAGCTGGAGAAAATCACCTTCGCTGTGTTTTACAAAGCAAAGAACAAAAATAGAACTGTGAAATGAAGGCCTCATGAGATACCCTCTGAACTGTTAGAGACAGACAATAGAACAGAGGAAGCGCAAACACAACAACACAGCCATCCCCAAAATGGTAACTAAGGTGTTTTTGGTCCTTTTTTGCAATGTTTAAGGTGGAACCCGCACCCCATGAATTACCAGACACTGATGAGAGGGGCTGGGTGATGCCTCAGTTGGTAAAACACCTGCTGTGCAAGGAACAAGGACCTGGGTTCAGATCTTCAGCAGCCAGAAAAAGCTCAGTGCCATCTACCTAGAACCCCGGCACTGGGGAGCCAGGGGCAGGCGGTGCCTGAGCTCACTGGCCAGTTCCGGGCCAGTGAGAGCCCTTGTCTCAAATATAAAGTCCATCCTGGGTTGGCTTAGCCATGGCAGCTTATGTGCCTCTGCCTCTTTGCGGCTGCCCCTGCTTCCAGCCAATCAGCATCACTTTGTGCCTCTGCAGGACGAGGTCCACACAGCCAGTCTCTAACGTGTACAGGTGCCATTGAGGGTCACACAATTTTACTCCCAGTAGAGGGACACACTTCTTTGACATCAGAGGGAATCAGGGACCGAGTTCCATGTCTTGGAATGCCACGACTAGCCCAGGAGACTCTCAGTCACCTAGCATTTTCTACAGACCTGGGCTCAGACAGTCTGGGCCTACTGTAGCCATGGAAATTCCAGACTTCAGAGAGAAGTTAATGTGTCCATAAGGAATTGCGCATGACACTTCAGGAAGAAAGCTTCACAGGAATAGAGTGTGGGAGACCTTTCCTTACACAGTGAGGGGACGCAGAGAACACTGGCTGGAGTGTCGAGGAGTTCTACCCTTTGAGAATAAATTTAGGGGCTGGAGAGATGCCTCAGCAGTTAAGGGCACTGACTGCTCTCCTGGAGGACCCAGGGTCAAGTCTGAGCACCCATGTGGCAGCTCACAACTGTCTGTGACTCCAGCTCCTGGGGATCCAACACCCTCAGACAGACATATACACAAGCCGAACATCAAAGCACATAAAGTAAAATAAATAAATAAATAGAAATAATTTTTTTTAAAAAAGAAATCTACTATAAAAAACAAACACAAATGGGTAAAAAGTGACTAAGGAAGTCATCCAGTATCAGCCTCTGGCCTCCACACATACATGCACACACACATACACACACACAAATAAAGAAAGTGATGAGAGATTAGAGTTTCTAAATAGAAAAATGTACAACTAGAAATGTATCAGAAAAGTAAAGAAATAAAAAGAGGATGAAACTTAGGTGCATTGAAGAACTGACACAAACCACAGAGCACCTGGGAGTCAGGACACGACCACCTGGGAGTTAGGACTCGAGCAGCTGGGAGTTAGGACATGAACACCTGGCGCACAACACAGGGAACACACTGGCTTCCTACCTCTTCAGGGTTTCCAGTGGCTCCTTCCTGTCTATGATTCCTGTGTCTGGGTCCACTGTCGTCAAGATGCACCTGCCGAAGACCTACGATTAGATGGTGGATCCAAACCAAAGTGCGTCCCACACTCCAGAGGCTATGTCTAACTCAGTCTTTACCTGGGGCAGTTCAGCACCTTTTTCATCTCGACATCACCAATTAGGAGCTCATCCCAAGTGTCCTAGAAGAAAAGGGAGAGGTGTCTTTTAGAGCCAGGCTTCCTTCACCTTGATCTGGTACTAGGTATGACATCAGAGGAAGGAGGGAGACACAGAAGGACACAGAGAACTCTGGAAAGCACCAAGAGAGGCAGCATGCAGTCAAGCTCAGGATACACAATTCACTCTTTAAAAAAGAGTAACTCTTTTAGCACTGAGCACAGAACCCAACGCCCGTGCACGGGAGTCCAGCACTCGACTGCTGCGCTGCCTCCCAGCCCCAGCATCTTCCTTTTGAGTCACAATCTCAACCACTGATTCTGCCAAATCAGCAAGAACAGGCTTTCACAGCCTACAGAATGGGAAAAGATCTTCACCAACCCCACATCAGACAGAGGACTGATCTCCAAAATATATAAAGAACTCGAGAAATTGGTTATCAAGAGAACAAATAATAAAGTTTAAAAATGGGGTACAGACTTAAACAGAGAACTCTCACAGAGGAATCTAAAATGGCTGAAAGACACTTAAGAAGATGTTCAACATCCTTAGTCATCAGAGAAATGCAAATCAAAACAACTCTGAGATTCCATCTCACACCTGTAAGAATGGCCAAGGTCAAAAACACTTATGACAACTTATGCTGGAGAGGTTGTGAGGGAAAAGGGAACACTCCTTCATTGTTGGTGGGAGTGCAAACTGGTACAGTCCCTTTGGATATCAGTACGGTAATTTCTCAGAAAATTAGGAAACAACCTTCCTCAAGACCCAGTAATACCACTTTTGGGTATATATCCATAGGATGCTCAATCGTGCCACAAGGACATGTGCTCAACTATGTTCATAGCAGCACTGTTTGTCATAGCCAAAACCTGGAAACAACCTAAATGCACCTCGACCAAAGAATGGATAAGGAAAATGTGGTACATTTACACAATGGAGTACTACACAGCAGAAAAAATAATGACATCTTGAAATTTGCAGGCAAATGTATGGATCTAGAAAATATCATATTGAGTGAGGTAACCCAGACCCAGAAAGACAAACATCATATATATTCACTCATAAGTGGTTTTTAAACATAAAGCAAAGAAAAACAGCCTATAGTTCACAAACCCAGAGAACCCAGATAATAATGAGAACCCTAAGAGCAATGTACATGGATCTAATCTACATAGGAAGTAGAAAAAGACAAGAATTCCTGAGTAAATCGGGAGCATGGGGACCATGGTAGAGGGTAGAAGGGGAGGGGAGAGGAAGGTAGGGGAGCAGATAAAAATGAATAGCTCAATAAAACCAATAAAAAAGTTTAAAAAAAAAGAAAAAGAAAACCGAAAGCTGGTGAAGATGTAATTGAAAGAGGGGCCGTGACCCAGTCCCAGCTCGCAGCAGAACTTGGCAGCTTTGGCCACGTGGTTCTGCCTCTAAGGACAGAAGGAAGGAGTTATGGAATAGACCTCTGTGGCTAGGGAAAGCTGCTGAGGCCAGGGATGTGTCGTGGAGTCCCTGAAAGGAGGCCTAGAGAGGTCACTGGGTGAAGCTGTGCAGGTGAA